GGGTCTCAGATTTCTAGTTAGGGTTCTAGGCAGGGTGTTAGAGTAGAGGGTTTTCTAGTGTGTGAGGGAGAGTTCGGAGCGGGGTCCCTTTGTCATGGTCCCCAACGGTATATGGGTGGTTGTCAAAATTATGGTCCCTTTTTGGGTCCTTATTATAATACGGCACCTATTATTTAGGGTACCCCAAAAGGGACCATAATTTTGACAACTACCCATATGACAACAAACCCCTTCATTCCGTTTTACAAGATTGATGGAGGGTTCGGAGTCGAGGGTCGAGGGTCATACCTGCTTTGTAATTTACACTTCCCATCTATGGTTTGGGTTTAGGGTTTAGGGTTTAGGGTTTAGGGTTTAGGGTTTAGGGTTTAGGGTTTAGGGTTTAGGGTTTAGGGATGGACTCGCTTTCGGCCATTTGCTCGAAGCATCTCGGCCAGTCCAAGACCTTACACCAAACACAGACTACGGGTGTAGGATTATGCCCTTTTGACGGGCATGGAAGATTGGGCAAGCGGTTCGCGCTCCCACTTTTGGCTGCAGCGCTGGATGGAAGGCCCAGGGATCTTTTTGCGACGAAAAAGGAAGCTTGTGCTGGCTAACGGTAGGTTTGCGGCGAACCGCCGGCTTGACTTCGTGCAGCCTGTCATGAAGCCACCTGCGGACCCACTTCAATAAATCAGGCGGCTGCTGCGCATAGTGGTTCCTGACTGAACGGTGGTGACCTTTGTGCCGGAACATTGTTGAAGAACCTTCGCAAGGAGGAATCGGGCATGGACGGCGGCTGCAACATCTGTCTGTTGATGTGTTTGTAGCCGAATGTTCAGGGATTCTGTAACCCATGCTCTGGGTCCAGCCAACCCACAACCAAGCCTTTACTTCTTAATTTTGACCCGAGTTCTCGGATTCAATATTAATATGAAGCCCAAACTCCTGAATCCTGCACCCTCAGGCCCTAGATCCTAAACCCTAAGCCTGTGATCCTGAGCCCTAAAACCCTCGAACCCCTTACCCCCGAAGTTAATGTCCAATGGAGAAGCCTAAATAATTCCTCAGGGCTCCTCCTCATAATAAAAATAGTACAATATACCGACCCCAAAAACCTATCCTAATCCCAAGACTTCACCTTAAACCCAGGACTGAACCCTAATCCCTAAACCCTTAATCCCAAGACTGGACCCTAAACCCTGAACCCCTAATCCCAAGACTGAACCTTAACCCCTAATCCCAAGACTGAACCCTAAATCCTGAACCCCTAATCCCTAAACCCTAAACCCAAGACTGAATCCTAAGCGCTAAACCCCTCAACCCAAGACTGAACCTCAAAGAATCCGAGATGGCGATCTCCCACCGGACAACGTGTCACAAGGCTACCTGCAGGCAGGGCCCCTTGAGTTTTTGTTTCAGGATCTTTTGGGGGGCTGGGGGGGGTATGGTTTAGGAGTTAGGGTTTAGGGTTGAGGGCTTGTGGCACGGGGTTTACGGGCTTACCTGTAGTCTCCGTTTTATGGATGTTGAAAGGTAGCCCCAAAAGGAACTACAATGCAGACTACAGGTAAGGTCTGGGGTTATTATTTGGCTGTACTTGCTTGTGGAGGGCTTAGGGTTCAGTGCATAAGGAATTTGGAGTTTTCCCTTCTTGGGATTCGAGGTTTAGTTATGAAGCCGCCGCGGTGGGGGGGGGGGGTGTTTGGAGTACAGGCCGTAGAGTTTAGAGTTCAAGGTTTGGTGGTTCAATCATGGGGATTTCGGAAGTTCGAGCCTCAATCCCTAAGCAAACCCACACCCTAAACCCTAAGCCCCAAGCCCCAAGCCCTAAACCCTAAACCCTAAACCCCTAAACCCTAAACCCTAAACCCTAAATAATAAGCCCGCAAGCCACTCCCGGTGAGGTCTGGGCGACACCGCTCCCCGAGCCCCCGGACGACATCTCCAATCCAGGGGATGGGTACCAGCCCTTGTGTTCGCAGGCGGGTGTGACGATCCAGATTTAGGGTTTAGGGTTTGGGGTTTAGGGTTTAGGGTTGAGGGTTCCGGATTTAGGGTTTAGGGTTTGGGGTTTAGGGTTTAGTTTAGGGTGTAGGGTGTAGGGTCCAAATATGACCCTCGACATTGAACCCTGAAACCTAAGTTTCAAGTTTCAGGGTCCAAGTATATGTAAAC